TCAGCCTGGCAGTGAAACTATGAAGGAGCAGATCAAGAGTGCCCTTTGCACCAGATTCTGGGAAATCACACCTTCTGGTAGCCGTCCCGCCCCCGAGGCACCCAGGATGTGAATTCACACAAACATTGCTGATCTCTGAACGGCAGAACAGCGGAGAGCATCTTCCCAGTTATTTACCATAAATCAAGAGCAATCTTGTTCCCAGAGGGAGAAACCACAGCATGCTGAGGTTTTATGGTACTGACCAGGAGGAAAAAAGTCTTCAGGGATGATAGAGGTTTAATTCAGAAATGTGTAAGTGGAGATGTGGGGCTTAGCCAGCCCCTTTTCACAAAGGTCATGGAAGTTTACTCTCATTAAGGAGGGTGATTAGGCTGGGGACCACTGAACCAAGGGCAGAGGAGCCAGGGGAAGGGCACGGGGACAACAGCAGGGATTCAGGATGGAACAGAGGGTGGCTGGAAGATCAGGCTGGAAGACAAAGACCGCCGAAGCAAAGGAGACCAGAACCATGGCAAACACTGGGGCTTTTAAACGTTCAATCCAGTCGTCCCTGGGCCATGAACAGCAGGATGGAGAGGCGGGGGGCGGAGGGGGCTCCTGTGTGTATTTGTGGGGGTGCAGCTATGAGCTAGTGTTTGTGGGCCTCTGTCGCTGTCTGCACCTTTCATGCATGACTGGCAGAAGCCAAATCAGGTCCCAGTGTCTGAAGTGAACGGTCCCATGACAATCGATGGTAAGTCCTACGTACAGATGTCAGGATGCGTTGTTGGTGGGAGGATGACTTTTGATATGTAATAAATATTTTGGATTGAAATGTCCCTTATCATTATGAAGTATTTTCAGACAGCTTTGCCAAAGCACAATCGGCGTATCAGCGGTTCGCGTCAGAGCACGTGGACAGATTCTGACATATGTAGACACCGTGAAACCGTCACCAGCCTATTTTGAGCAATTACAGTTGAATGGAAAAAAAAAAAACAAAAACCCAAATACAAAAGCAAAAGGAGTCAGATGCCTCGCGTCTGAGTCTCAGTTTCTGTCCTCTCCCCACCCAGCACGGGACCACCTGCTTCACGTGCCCCTCATGACCGAGTCAAGCAGGCTCTAGGTGGAGGGACCTGACGATTTCCTCCTCAGGCAACCCAGTCTGCCTGGAGCCTGCCGGATGGAGCGCCATCAATCAGCCGGGCCTGGCTGCCGTGGGGGGAGCTCCGGGGGTGTGGGCAGTCCCCGGCTTGCCGCTCCTGAGCCCCTGGCTGCCAGTCCTGTGAGTCAGATCTCCCGCGCTCCTTTCAGACTACGGGATGCTCTGACAGCATCTGGGTCCAAAACACAGAGCCCAAGTTTCTTCCTAAAATAAGAGGACTAGATAGCAATTGAAAATCAACCATGAACACTGCAGATAAAGTAAATTAAAGGTCGGTGGGAGGTGTAGCTCACCATGAAATCCGGAGCAGGTTGGTGGGAGGGGGGCAATACCTCTCTACTCTGACCCACAGAGCCTGAATGGTAGCCAGGTGTTGGGGTTCAGGCATTGACAGGCCTGTTGTCAGAACGGGGGAAACAGGAATTGAATCGCTAAGGGGTCTTTGTGGTCCTTGAGAGAAATCCATGAGCTCTAAAATGGACCATTATAACGGAAGTCCCTGTGACTAGCTGGATGCAGCCCGGCATCTAAAGCTGGGGGGCAGTTATCGTTCTGCAAACAAAGTGGTGGCCGGTTGTGAACCCACCAAGAATGTGTGTGTATAAACATGAGTGGTGTCGCCCAGGGGCTCCAGTGACTCTCCCAGGCAACCACTTGGCAAGAAGAAGGTCCAAGATGGGTTTTTCTTCCCATCCCTCAGAGCTCCGACCACGGTCTGACCCAGAACCGTGAGCGCCGAGCAGAGCAGGACGGCTAGAGGAGAGTGGTGGCTCCTCGTGGAGGAGGCTGGCGGCCCAAGCAGGGGAGCTGAGAGAGGACGGACGGAGCCGACCGGCACCTCGGTGAGCCCATGGTGCAGGGAGCAGCTGACCCTTGTGTGGTCTCTGGGACTGTGCCCTTATTCATACTCAAAACTGGCAAGGTTTAGGGACATACAGATTACTAAAGGTTTCGAGATAAGCAACCATATTCTTATACAGATGAAAATCAGGATTTAAAAGTTTTAAATAAGATTAAAAACATCCATCCTGGAACCACACTGCCCCTGCACTCAAACTCAGGCAACAGAACCTGCATGTGCGTCAGACGAGCATCATCTAAATTTGAGCCAAAGTCGTATCTAGACATTTTCTCCTCCAAATCTACCGTTCAGCAGATTCCAGGAATGTTGTGTCTTGGGCCACTGAAAAGGCCAAGTTTCCTTGAAGGAGAAGGAACCTGTAGGAAAGTAATAGATTCCATGAGTGTGAAGGGGAGAAGCAGGGGAGGGAGGAGCAGCGGAGAGAGGATACACACGCACACACATAACACACGCTAAGCCTCTTTCGCGTGTGAGGAGTTGGGTTGCATGGGAGACGAGTTGGATGAATCAAGGCCCAGGGAAAAAGACGGCGATATAAACCTGTCTGACAGAGCGTGAGGATGATGAAATCCTTCTCAACAGTGGGGAGCCTCCTTCCTCTTGGCGACTGTGCACTGTGTTTGGGAAGGCGGGGGCCTCCATCCTAATTTCCCAGCCATCCATGTCTTCCACTGGGGCTCCACACAGTTACCGCTGCGAATTGCTTTCTTCCCGAGCTGTATTTTATTCTAGCAGAGCAGGTAGTTTCCCTTCCTTCTGTACACGGGGACTGGGATTGAATGTAACATTAAATGCAGGCTCATTTACCTGGAAGTCCTCCTCCTTAGAGCCTGGGCCGCAGAGCTGCATCACATGCCGAGGACAGATAATGGGAACAGAAGCCTCACGGAAAGACCACTGAGTCATTCTGTCATCCAGACTCAGAAAGCCCAGACAAGAGGCTGCGTCCCCGCCTGAGTTCTGTAGACACCAAGAGTCAGGGAGTCCTTCTGACATTTGGGGCCTGGGTTGTAAGTTTCCACAACTGTGAAATTCACAGATTACTTGGACTGATTTGGTTCGTGAAATGCACAGTAGGGACTGCTTTATATAGCAGCTCCTTCCTTTTTTTGCTCTCTGAATCTGCTCTTGCATATGGTAGGGCAAGGTGGACACGGTGCTTCAGTGGGGGCACACAAGCCCCCTGGACTCCCAGGGACTTGGGTTCTGAGGTGGAGTGAGCACCTGACCCTTTATGAGGAAGGTGGAGGCAATGCTATGGTTTGTTACAAGCAGGTTTCAGAGGAGTAGGCCTGAGAACGAGATAACGGGTTTGGAGACCAGTACATTAGTGACCTGTGAGAACAGCTGTATGGGGAGGGGGCAAGCCCGCCTGAGAGGAGTGGACACAACATGGCGACATTTGCAGGGAGATGCAGAGCAGAGGAGCCTGGATGGTGGCCTGCGTGGAGAGCACGCAGAGGAGGTTCTCCTTAGGCTGATGGAGCCCCAGCCCAGCTTTAATACTGGGGCAGGAGCTGATGGTGAAGGGGACTCATGTTCACGGACAAGATCCCCCAGGACTCAGAGCCTGGCCACAGTGTGACGGGACTGCTGGAAGGATTAAGAATGGTAAGCCCCAGGGAAGGATGGGAGAGTGGCTTTCCTTTGCATTTAGGAAAAACGAAGAGATGGGTGAAGACAAGAGGATTCTGTCCTGAAGAAACTAAAAGAGAGCAGGCGCTCAAGATGGTTTTGAATGTCTGAGCGAAATGAGTATCTGTGAACCAAAGTCTTTTTCATGACTATACCTCACTTAAATTTTTTTTAAATTGTGGTAAATGTACAAAACATAACATTTGCAATGTCAACCATTTTAAAGGGTTTGTTTCTATGGCATTAAGCACATTGGCCTCATTGTGCAGACATCATCACTATCCATCTCCAAAACGCTTTTCATATTCTCACACTGAACCTCTATGCCCATGAAACACTGACCCCCACATGTCCTCCCCACAGCCTGTGGAAACCACCATTCTACTTTCTGTTTCTACAAGTTTGCCTACTGCAGGAATTTCATATAAATGGAATCATGCAATATTCCATTGTCCTTCTGTGACTGGCTTCTTTCACTTAACAAAATGTCCAGGGTTCATCCATGTGCCAGAATCTCCTTCCTTTGCAAGGCTGAATAGTATTCCATTGTACGGAGAGACCTCAATTTGTTTTTCCATCTGTCAGTGGACCCTTGGCTTGCTCTCACCTTTTGGCTTTGTGAATAACTCTGCTGTGAACATGCGTGTGCGACTATCTCTTCCAACTCCCACGTTCACATCTTCTGGGTGTATATCCTGAAGCAGAATTACTGGATCAGATGATAATTCCATGTTTAAGTTTCCATGCTGTTTTCCACCAACTGCTGCACCACCTTACATCCCCATCAGCAAAGCACAGTGTTCTAATTTTTCCACATCTCAACAACACTGGTTATTTTATTTCTTCCTCTTAAAAAAATGATAACCATCCCAATGGGTGTGAAGTGGTATCTCAGTGTGGTTTTGCTCTGTGTTTCCCGAATGCTTAGTGATTGTTGAGCTCATTGCACGTGCTCATTGCACATGTGTCTGCCTTCTTTGGAGGGATGTCTATTCAAGTCCTTTGTCCATTTTCCAATTGGGTTGTTGGTGTTTTGCTGGTGAGTTGTAGGAATTCTTTATATACACTGGATATTGATCCCTTATCCAATACGTGATCTGCAAATGTTCTCTCCCATTCCATGAGTTGCCTTTTCACTCTGTTAATTGTGTCCTTTGATGCACACACATTTTTGATTTTGATGAAGGCCAGTGTATCTCTTCTTTCTTTTGTTGCCCATGCTTTAGGTGTCCTATCTAAGAAATTCTCAGCAGATACAAGGTCATAAAGCTTTCCTCTGACATTTTCTCTTAGGAACTTTATAGTTTTAGTTCTTACATTTAGGTTTTTGGTCAACTTTGAGTTAATTCTTTTAAAATTGGGAAACATAGCATGGATTTATTTGTTATCCCTGCACAGGGACATGTTAGTCCCCTCTGTATAGTTGCAATTTTAATATACACCCTGCCAAAACAAGGGTTGAAACACAGTCTCTGGAGAAAATACATTACCATAAGCATATGAAAATAAAACTCTTTACAACGCACTTATAATAAGTGTTCTCAATTTCGGGCATTCATTTACTTATCCTGGACCCACCAGATGTGCTGTTATTATTTAAGCATTCGTCTGCCGCCTACATGCCCCGTGAAGCCTTTCCTTAAGGTTCTGAGACCCTGACTCTCACACAGTTCTCTCCATGTTGGCTGATGTCTTTCCCTCTCTCAGTGCCGAGCCAGTGGGAGCCCAGCAAGACTTTTAGGTCCTCTTGTCAATTTTTCACAATCTGTACATGGATGCTGTGACATGGACATATTTCAAAGAGTTTGGATATTGATTTAAAACAAGGGGGATTGGTTTGAAAACCTGTACGTGGAGATTCTAGATGCCCAGATACTTTCTCCCACCCCCTGAAGAAACAAAGGGTTAATTCTTTGGAGAAACTAAACCAGGGAGGCTCTGGACTCAGACACACTGTGAAGGGATGAGGCTCTGGATGAGCAAGAACACCATGAGTGTCAGCAGATCAGATTTCGAGGTACCCCCACCCCTACCACTGCCCCCACCCCTTCCTCCCATCCTGCTCCCAGAACACCTGCTTCTAGGCATACACCCTCCCCTACCCCTGCCCCTGACAAGAAACAGGAGGGCTTTACCCTGGAGAGACTGAACTCTACCAAAGAAAAGACCTACAGGTACTGACATTTGGGAAGGGGGGTCTCCCTATGCAATCACACTCCATCAAGTTCAACTGGCAACAATCCCTGACCAGAGTTTCCAACGCCTTCCCCAGCTTCCAACCTGCTTTCTCATGCCTCACACTTAAATAAGAAAGGGTGGTGAACGATACACGAACATACTTGAGGAAGGCTTCCAACAAGGAAAATAGGCTAAAATAATACACAGCTAAAAGAACCTGGGATAGGGGCACCTGGGTGGCTCAGTCAGTTAAGCATCTGCTTTTATTTATTTATTTATTTTAAAGATTTTATTTATTTGACACAGAGAGAGGGAACACAAGTAGGGGGAGCGGGAGAGGGAGAAGCAGGCTGTCACAGAGCACGGAGCCCGACGCGGGGCTCGATCCCAGGACCCCAGGATCATGACCTGAGCAGAAGGCAGACGCCTAATGACTGAGCCACCCAGGCGCCCCAGCTTTTAGCTCAGGTAATGATCTCAGGGTCCTGGGATTGAGCCCTACATCAGGTTCTCTGTTCAGTGAGGAGTCTGCTTCTCCCTCTCACTCTCCTCTGTGCTCTCTCTCTCTCCCTCTCAAATAAATATTAATAAATAAATTCTTTTTTTAAAAAAAGAACATGGGATAGAGACCATACAGGGAGGGAAAATATTCTTAACATTGTAGTATTCTCAGAAAGAGAAGAAAAGATATTGCATTCATGGTAAAAAGAATGCTATAAAAGGAACAACTGGAGAACAGTAAAGAGTTTATAGGAATTAAAATAAAGTATTAAAAATTATAAAAGTCAACAGGGAGTTTGAAGAATAAAATTGAAAAAAATCTCCCAGAAAGTAGAACAAAAATACAAATATATCAAAAGGAGAGAAAAGATAAGAAAATATGAAGATTAATTTAGCATAGAATAAAAAAGTAGCTGAAGTTAAGAAATTATCAAAGAAATAATACAGAAAAATATCCCAGAACTGAAACATATAAATCTGCATGCTGAGTGACCCACCACGTCTGGGACAATGAACTTAAACAGACCAAGGCACATCACTATGAAATATATTATCAGCGAGGATCCAGAAAAGAGCCCAAGAGTTCCCGGAGAAGAAAAGAGGTCACAAACAAAGCAAAGACAACAAGAGAGCTTCATCAGACCCTAGAAGATAGCAGAGTGCAGTGTCCAAAATTCAGATGAAAAATGATTTTCAACCTGGAATTCTGTATTCATTGCAAATATTATGGAGGGAGGAACAAAGATATTTTTAGACAAACACAATCTCAAGACGTGGACCTCCCAGGTGCCCTTTGCCAGGAAGCTACTAGGCTGTGCTCTGTCGAAATGAAGGAGTAAACCAGGAAAAAGTGAAGCATGAGACAGTGGGGGCTGTGAAGGGATGTCCCGGAAGGACGGTGATAGGACCCAGGCCATCAAGCACACAGCAGGTGCAGCCCATCCAGGAGGAGCAGAGCTGAGCATGGTGGGACAGAGGGCTCAGATGGAGAAGACATGGGTGGCGCTGACAGACTGCTTTCAAACACATTTTGGATAAATTTGGAAACTGTGTTGTCAGCTCTGGGACAGATCTGTTAGGGCGTCTGGTGCAAAAATGTAAGAGCCAAAAAACGAAGGTACAACTAAGTTATAAGCACATGATAAAATAAGACTAATATTAATTGCAGGGAAAATAAAAGTTGTACAAGGGAAAAAAGAAGTGGAATCCAGATACCCTATTTGGCTCAGGACCAAATAACACAAATGGCAGTGTTTCCCCTGATAACGGCGATCGCAACACGCTGAGCTGGCAGGGCATGCAGAGCGTGTGAATGGCAGCAACATCAGCCCCCAGCTCCGTAACAGGAACTCAGTGGATGATGTCTAAACAAAGAAATCATCAGGAAATAGCTGTATATTATTTGGTAAAAGGGAAATAAGTAGCTAAAAAGCAGAAATAAGAAGCTTGGAAATGGTCATTTCTTGGAAGCAAGACATTTGTTCTAAGAAATTCAGTTTTGTTTGATTTTTTTTAATGATAGTATACAGTTTGGGGTGATCTTTTGACTTATCTATACTTCTCAGAATTTCAATGTGCTCACATGCAGGGTCCCTGCTAATTTATAAAATCCCCCATGTGTACGGTAAGAAAAGGTGCCCCTTTGGGGCAGAGCAGCCCCAGGCCAGCAAGGGGCAGGATAGGGTGGATTTCAGCCCTATCTGCCACCTTACCAGGGGCAACTTACACAGAACACACTGGGGACCACACAGCAGCCCTGCTCTAAAAAGTATGCACTGCTATGAAAGTAGTGTAAAGATACAAAAAGGCATAAAAAACAGGACCAAAAAAAAGCCCCTATCTGAAATTCTCCTAAAATCAAGCCTCGTGTCCTAAATGCCCCGTTATTTCTAAACTTCTTGTTTGAACGTGAATGCCAATAATAAACAATACACAATGACTGAAATTAACATCAATCAATTTAACACTCTGAGAAGTGCTCTAAAATAATATGGGGTTTGGCTGACCTGGATAAACAGTCATCCTCACGAAGGAAGGCCTGGCTAGGCATTTTAGGTGGTTTTTAGATCACTGAACCAATAACTGGATGTGATTGCTAAGATGTCAGGCATTGTCGTGGATGAGTAAAATGTAAGTCAAGTCTCAAGAATTGGAAGAAGGTCCCAACCGCCATCTTCTCTGGCTGGGCCATTTATGTAGTAGTGTTCTTAGTTCCAGGGTCTACGGAGGTCACTGACTGTGCTCACCCACTGTCTTGGAAAGGGCAAAGAAACCACACAGAACGTATGTATGGTTGTCTGTAAATAGTCTTAGAAATTAAGAATGTCATACAAAACAGTAATATCTTAGATTTTTTTTTCAAAGTAGAGGGTTAAAAAGAGCTAAATGGACAGAGATTGACTGGATGGAAAGAAGGACTCTGGAATTCCAATAGAGCTATTTAGAGATAACATGCGTGTCGCCTTGCGCAGTTGGGATGAGAACCCGGCCTCTGTGGAGCAGGCCGGGAGGGCCAGGTTGAAGGGCTTTCTCGCTCTGACTGAGACTGGCTTCCAGTGTGAAGTGTTTTTGACTTACTGCCTTTCATCACTTCCCCTGAACCTTGAGCCAGGGAAGTATACTTCAAAAATATTTGATTTGCGTGTTCAGTAAGGAATGATTTCATCCCCAATCCAATCATTACTTCTTAACTTGAAAACACTTTTTATTCGCTTCAAGGTAGATGACACTTGGGGTATGAATGAAGACCCAGGAGAGTTTCCTCAGAAGAATGCTAGGCTTGAACTGTCCAACTGCCAGGAGAGAGAGCACATTGTCATCCGGACTTCCTGTCCGCGCTGTAAGTGCCCCTTACAGGCTCTGACATCATAAGTGCTTCCAGATTCCATCAGTGATCCACAATGAATTAAAAAGCGATAGAATCCAGGTGCTTTTGCTGGTAAACAGTTACTGTGTAGGAAAAGTAGACAGAACAAGGATAGTCATTGACTTCCCTGTGACATTCATTCACATCCGAGAGAGCTCTCTGCGCCTTTGGTTCCGGCAGGCAAGCTCTGCCCACTGCACACCCGCTGGTTTGCACACATCACCCATCTCCTGTCATTGTGCCCTCTTCTTTTTAATTAACTCACTGATTATAATGTCTTAAATGGCATAAAGTGAAGACAGCCTATACAAAAGATGCCAATATATAAATTAAGGGAAGCTACGTCTCTAATAAAACTCCCAAAGAGGCTGAAAATTTCCTCTGAGAACTACTTCCTACACTCTTGCCTCAGCTAGCTATAAATCCTTGGTGCTGAAATGACACATTTCATGGCCTTTCACTATTTTGTAGATCTAGGGGTTCCAAAGTAATTTCTTAGAGGAGCACTAAACCACAAATTTGTGTATGTGATCAGATACATTTTCCCCCCAAAGTTTTCAAGTGGTATGGAATTATTTACATGGTTATGTCAGATAATTTCAGCTGATTAATTTCATCTTGACATTAGATAAACTTCACGGAAATCTATTTCTGAGGCATGTCCAGTGCTGTCATATGAAGTAAACATGATGGGTTTCCTTTGCCATGGTCCTCATTTTCAGTGGGAAGCAGAAGGTGGCTTTTCTTTAACCTAATGCTGCTCTGATTGCTTATAACTATGAAACTAGTATTAATATTAACTCCTAGGCGCCTGGGTGGCTCAGTTGGTTGAGCGACTGCCTTCAGCTCAGGTCATGATCCTGGAGTCCCGGGATCGAGTCCCGCATCGGGCTCCCTGCTCGGCAGGGAGTCTG